ATGGAAGACACTCTCGTTCCTAAACACGGTGTTTTTAGAACAGAAAGTATAGTTGTCAAGCGGAAATATCTTGAGAACTAAAGGTACTTGGAACTTCCTGGAACTTGGTAAAAAAAGCCACACACAGCGAAGTTTTTAAGTCCATAGCATTACTCAAAACTGCTGAAAGATATGTTTATCTGGAAAATGAATGCAAACGTTGAAAGCGATTTGTGGCACACTATACAAAGAAAAGACAATTTAAATACAAGTGACACAGACAACGATAACTTAGACAATAGTTCAAGTGATGAATTATTCATATGAAAAGCCTCGGTAACACAATACAAACAAAACAAAATCCACATCACATGTTTCAGTTAAAACCCTTTGTGGGCGGACAGGAACAAAACATTTTCTAAACATTCTAAAAATGTAATGATTTTTCTCCAGGTAACATTTGATTTTATAAACCAGATTGTCCTACCAATGGGGTTTGTTTGTAACATTTGAATCAGTTTACCTGATCTTTATTCTACAGGGAATAAGGCGAAAAGAGACGAAATATGCCGAACATTCATGTAAAAGCTCAATGTTTTATCTTTCGAACTGGAAGGAATGAACATTCAAAAGAAATTCATCTTTATTTACTTGTAAAAAATTCACACACAAAGATATGTCATTATCAACGAAAATAATAAATATTAAATTAGTCTATGTGTCAATGTTTTGGAGCGAAGACAAGTCGAAACTTGCTTGAGTCTTTTTACGTTGTAGATGAGATTGAATATAACGTAATATGTCATTAGACTTCATGTTAGCTTGCAAAGAATGCCTTTTAATTGATTTCGGAGATTGCATTTTGTTTGTACTATTTGTTGATTTGGTCTGTTCATTTTCAAATCTTGTCGTCTTTTGAGCCTCGTTCTGACAATGAATAGAAACAAGAGATGCCTTTCCAGACTCAAGTGCAGGCAAAAGTGAGCATTGTTTTCCATACATGCTATGAGTGCTGTTTGTAGAGCTTCGAAGTGGTGTCACTAGGTTTGAAGACGAATGTGATGTATAGAACATAAACAAATCGTCTTCATAACGTCTTTTATATATTTCCGGAAGTTCCGTCTGAAGTATGCGCCTGCGCTCTTCCAGCCTGTTTCGTTCTTTAACCTCTTGTCGCTTATCTTCCTTTCGTTCCTCACGTATGTGACTTCTTACTCCGTTTGATAGTAGACTTAAAGAAAAATTACTTGAACAAAATACTGACTGTAAAAAAAGTTTTCTTTAGACTTAAAGAAAAAACCAACAAATCCGTGCTTTGTTAAAAGTTTCAATGATAATATGTTGACAATATATTGCTTGTAAAGAATAAATTTTTAATGCATGCTTTGTTACAGGTATCCATTGTTTGATGTGCTTAACTACATTCGAACGGAAAGATAAAATTAATGAAATACTTTAGTTTAAATTTATAACAGGGTTAATCAAACAAATGTAAAGAAATAAAGCATCAACTATTCAAGCTGATACAATACATTCTTTCAGCCTGCACATATTTCTTTGTCAAACAAAGAATTTATTTACCCGTAACTTATAAAGCCTTTTTTGTGTTTATCAAGTCTCGATGCGACAGTTATCAGGTCTCGGTCTGACAATGGAACACCAACTCTCTGTAAATATGAAATATAATATTTCATATTCAATACAATGACAAACACAGGTTAAACGTACATTTTGTAACAACCGTACAAGCCATTGTTAATACAAAACATGGGTGTACTAGTTATTACCAGGCCTTCTAACCGTAACTAATGAAGCAGTGACGTCACAAAGTTACAAAATGTGTTGGCGGGCTTAAAGTTTAAGATGCACGTGCGTTTTGAATGATTTGCTGTGATGATATTTAATTGATTACATTTTGTTGCTTTCAAAAAGGAGTTGTTGGTTTTTATTTGTTTTTTTTGGGGGGGGGGGGGTTGTTGTTGTTTTTTTGTTCTTTTTTCAACAGAAAACAAATTTGGTGTAGAAGCAACACTATCAAATTATGTATTAGATACAACTACCGACGTTTAAAATTGAAGTTCAGTTGGTCAATGAGGATCGAAATACTGATACTTTCAAAGATACTTTTAAGAAATATTTGCATGAAGGTGTGACGCTCCTTAACTTGAAGTCTACCCCCAACTGGGACCAAAACATATCTATTGTGTATTATCTAGGCATATATTGTCGTTCAAAAAGCAAGGCTGTTACCAACGGGTTGCGAAGTAGGCACCTTACCCGCGCGACCTGAACCAACATAACGCATATTCTCTCAAATTTACACTTTTACACTACATTTTCAAAAATGTCTCTTTATTTATTTTCTAGATGTAACTTAGGTAGAAACTTAGGTCAAGGAATAAGTAAAACGTTTGTAACGATAAAATTCCCAAGAGACTTGGTAAAAACGCAGTTCCGTGAAAATGTGATATAAATGAAATTCATATATAGACCTGAATATGTAGATTAAATATAAGAAAGAAATGTATCCGGTTTATAAGGAAGTTAGAAAGAAAAATGTAGGACAATGCACTAACTGAACTAAGCTCTAGGGAAAAATACAGTAATTATGGAAAAATACAGTAATTATTGATACCTTTTTATCTTCGAGCACGGTAAAAGTGCCTGTGTTGTAAAAATATAATTCAATATACACTAATATAGTTCTAATATATAAGAAAAAAATTTATTATAGTTTATATAATTTTTCTGTGACAGTAACAAAGTAATAAAGTTTGTTAAGAAGATATCACTTTTTTTCTTCCCCAAAGCAGAGTCAAAGTTCTAAGTTTATACAAAACTTTATACAAGAAGTATCACTTATACTTGCTTGCAGATTAAACGTTAAATGAGATATTGGCATATCTCCGTTATATAATTTAATTTTTACTTATTGTTTAATGAAAATAGGAAATGATTACTTTAAGTCCGCGGATGAACTCCCTCCTTGAGACCTGGCCATCATTATCGGAGTCAAACATCCGGAATAGGTCGATTATCCGGATACCTACGGTTCCTAGATACCGTACAACAATTGTTATAGGGTCCTCTGGTTTCACTGAAGGAAATAAGAAAAACAAAACTGTTATTTTACTCTTAAAGGCACATAATTCCTTAAAGAATCCATATATTTTCAATTCTTAAGAAATATCAAACATGTGTTAAATAATGTTTAAATAAAGGATTCAGAGCATGTAACATGTTCAACAACTAAAGGAAGTAGCGCTGAGCATTCTGAAATATGTCTTAAAGGTAGAAAAATGTAAACAAAATAGTATTTTGACTTCCATATAATTCAATATTATTATACAAATTACCAAAAGAGCTTCGGAAGCAAAAGATAATTCATCTATGTGGCTAATGACTTATATTTTGCAATCTGTAAAAAATATACCAAAAAATAACTGTTTTGAGAAAAAAAATAACATTTCTGAGGCATAATGGGCCTTTAAGCCGCCTAGTGACAGTTAATCTACGCAAACAAGAACTATAGATCAAGGTCAACACGAAAATCCGTGCCATCTGACCATGATCTGCTTCTATCGATACTCAGTCAGTTCTTGAAATTGTCCATGGAAATGATGGGGGAAAAAATAATATATATAATTGTTTTGTCCAGATTGCGAGTCGAGCAGGTCTGTTTATGGTAAGGGTTAATAACAAAGGCATCATCAGAAGGGGACGTTTACAAGATCTTTTCCATCTTTTACACTCAATGTACTTCGTGAATTATTTACTGAATGAATATCAACATTTAACGCAATACATATTATACCCTAGTATTATGCCCTGCATTTGTAGATGATTGGTGAAAGAAACATTTTCTTATTATATATTATAGGGTTAATCAAAAGGAATGTATTTAACTCTTTTATTTTATATGTGATATATCGGCAATCTCCGATTTTTTATCGTAATTTATCGGAAATGCCCGATTCTAAATTGTTCTTGTAAAACGGAAATGTCCGATTATTGTTATCGTAATAGATATACATCATACATAGTAAAATCCTTATTGTCGTAATGCCTAAAGATGCTCGTTTTACATTTTAATATAAATTTACTATGTTAATATAATGTTCAAAATAGCTTATATGCTCAGCTAAGGTGACTTATAGAACAAAAGGGCCTGGCGTTCTTCTAAAAGTAAATCTATGTACATGCATATATTTGTAACACATTTCTTTATAAAAGAATTTCCTTACTTACTTACTTACTTACATACTTACTACTGCATAAAGAACACGTGCGATTTTTAAAGTCTATAATATAGAAAGTGGACTAGTATTTTACCTTTTCTGATACCAACAACGTCCCTCGTATCAAGTATCCCACCATGAGTAATCGAGAACTGTCGGGCCTTCATTATGTCATTGGCCACCGTTAAAACAGCGCCGTTCACGGGGATATTCTATAAAGTATTCATGAAAACTACTCAAATCTCAAGTTAATTATTCTTTAAAAAAAATATGTGTTATCGAGCTGTGATGAAATGGTAAAATTAAATGTGAATAGTAATAAATTGTATGTCAAAAAAGACTGATGGCTTTGTTTAAATACATTAAAATTTTATGAATTTCAAAACAAAGCGTTATTGTCTACTGCCCTAAAACATTGTCAGTATTATTGGCAAACTAATTCTACTTTTTTACTTCTTTTTTAAATCTTTTTGTCTTGATATAGGCCTCAGTTTATAGGCCTAATTAAGTTTATACACGACAGCTAGTTGATTAAAGGAACACCACTGAAGTTCAAAGGCCAAAAACATACAATTTTAAATATCATTCAAATATCAAGTGAAATACTTAAAATGGAAAAATCTGTAAAGGATAACAGAGAAATATACTTAAAACTAAATTAAAAATCGATTTTTGTGCGATTCTTAGCCCGATTTGAATGAAAGGCGTTGCAACGCTTTACATATTTTGGTAATTTGGCACACAAAAATAATTCTGTCCAGTAATATTTCAGCGGCATTCAGCGAGGGAAATTAGGTTAGATATTTGTCGCGGGTCATTATGACAAAAATGTAGAAAGGAGGAGGTCTATCGTGTGCAATGAAAAGAGACTCGATTTGCGCCCTTTAAAAAAAATCTCGCAGGTTTGTAAGCCTGTTATTGGTTATGCCCTTAGGTTTTTTTTGACAAGTGCGGTATATAAAAGTAATGAATTTCAATATAAGATTTCTAATGTGGAATGTTGATATAAAAAATGATCTCCGTTATTTTTAATGAATATCACGATACCGTATATTTTATCGCTCTCCTTGTTTCGGTAAAACAGTAACGCGTTAACAATTACTAAAACATAATTCAAAGCATATTTTATTGAAACATTTTTACATTTTAAATTACTGTAAAATAATATGCATTTCTTCATCTCAATTTATTATTTACATCTATGGTGTGACATGTTTGACAATTTTATACTCATATAAATAAACATGGGGTTTTCCCTTATCGCTCGGCAGGTTCCGGAAACACGGAAATGTACGAACGTTAAACAGACAAGAAGTTCGTCATTTTGTTTGACATATAACACAGGCTAGTTGTTGAGTACAAAGTATGGAATACGGAAACGAAAGTTTGTATATCTTCAGTCAAAAATGACTGTTTTTTTTTTTCACTAGTAAACGTATACATATAGGTATATAATAAATATATATTTACATCTAGTGCTATATGCAAGATTTGACTTTTTCTGGAAGCGACAGCTTTCAACAGTTCATAACAACCCTCCATATTAATGGGATTACTGCCAATCTGAAAAAAAAGAATCAGAGAAAGTCAGAATAATCTATAGCATTTTTTGTTTCAATAGCAATGGTTTAAAACTTTAATACATTGGCCCATACGTGCAATGCCATATTTTTTCGTAACAAAATGAGAAAAGTCGAAATGATGGTAGGAGAAATAAGTCGTGTTTTTGCCATGTTTTTACAAGTGTTTTGTATTTTTAAGTTTTAGCCGGTAGGGACAAAACGTTCGACAACTTGCTTATATGAAATGGCGTGACTCGGCTTCCATAGTGAAACTGCAAAACAAGCGCCGTTTCCATTTTCTATGAAATACATATTTTCTTCACTGGATGTTATAGGATTGGAAGAAAACATATCAAATATGCAACCATTTTGTGCGTCCAAACGCACAAAAGCAATTCAGTTTATGGAAAACATGATTAAATGGTAAATTTATTTATGTGCTTGAAAGTTAATGTTTGGCAATCAATTTTCTCTTTTATGAATTATATATTGGTTGTTGTACCTGTATCTGTAGCAATAAAATAAGTTTAAACAAAAGTAACACATAATACACCCTATTAACTAACACTTCATTATTCTCGCTATTTGTTAAAACTAATTTTGGTTATGAATGTTTTATTAACTTTCATTTTAAATCATTTCATTTCTAAATGTTAATTATTTTTGAAAAAAAAATGATGCTAGCCTACGCACATAAATATATATTTTATATAATACTTATGACAACAGGGTGCTAATAAATCAACGTTTAATTACTGAATTTAAATAAAATAATTATTAATTATTTTGTATCTCTCTTTTGGGACCAGACATAAAGTAATTGTGATGTATATGTATGCGGACACAGCAAATTCTTTGAAAATAGCAAACATGGTAAACAGAATATTTATGATTGGCATAAAAGCATATTTGATATATCAATGTATTGCAGACTTTAATTTAAGGCACATTGTGCATCAGAAATCCATTAAAAAATCTTTGGAAATGTCAAACATGTGTTTAATAATGTATATGAAATAGATTCAGTGCATGTAGATGTTTTACAACTTCTCTTCGTCTTCAAATATAGGTTTAAACATCAATACTAGTTTATGTTTTGATAAATTTTGTGTTGCTGAAAAATTTAATGAATTTTTTACGACTGTTGCTCAATAGTTAGTTGAAAAACTTCCTACTAGTATGAATAATTTTGGAAGAAACTTTATATTATATTTTTATAGTAAAAAGGGTGTTGTACGTAACAGTTTTTCTTTATCTGTTGTTACTAAGGGAACTGTAATTAAGTACTTAAATAAACTAGGGGCCAATAAAGCTACAGGCTTGGATGGTATACCTGCGCGATTTATAAAGGATAGTGTTCACAACATTGCTGAACCCCTTACTCATATACTTAATTTGTCCATTATTACTGGTATTGTTCCAGGTGATCTCAAGTCTGCCCGTGTTGTTCCATTGTATAAAAAAATAATAAGACTGAACCTGGTAATTATCGACAGTGTCTATTTTAAGTGTAGTGTCCAAGGCGTCCTTGAGAGAATTATTTATGACCAAGTAGAGAGTTACTTATCAGAGAATAACCTACTTTATACCCATCAGTCTGGTTTTAGACATAGATTTCTAACTGACACTTGCCTTTTACACCTTACAGATTTCATTAAATTTGAAATGGATAAAGGTAATTATGACGGTATGGTCCTTTTAGATTTACAAAAGGCGTTCGACACTGTCGATCATAATATTTTTACTCATGAAACTTGATGCTATGGGGTTTTCTAGTGATGTTATTCACTGGTTTAGGTCTTACTTATCTAGCCATACACAAATGGTCAATGTCTCCGGTGTACTTTCATCTAGCGCCAATGTAACTTGTGGGGTACCCCAAGGTTCGATCCTTGGCCCTCTCCTATTCTTGATTTATGTTAATGATATGGAGGCTGTGGTTCGTAATAAATTGCTTTCTGTATGCTGATGACTCAGGTATTTTAGTATCAGGTAAAGATATCCAGTATATTACCTCTCAGCTTACTGTGATCTCAGCAGTGTGAGTAAGTGGCTCACTGATAATAAACTTTCCTTACATCTTGGAAAGACAGAGTCTATTTTATTTGCGTCTAAACCAAGACTTAGGTCATGTGATCAACTAAATATTGTATGTAATGGTACTACAATAACATCCACCAAAATCTGTTAACTACTTAGGTGCTGACCTAGATCAATGTCTATCTGGTGAGTCTATAGCCAACCAGGTAATTAAGAAGGCCAATGCAAAACTTAAGTTTTTATATAGAAAAAGTTCATTTTTAAATAGGTATACTAAACAGCTTTAATTTAGTTTCTTCATTAATACAATGTCATTTTGATTATGCGTGTGCCTCCTGGTATTTAGGGTTGAGTCAAAATCTAAGAAATAGACTTCAGGCCACACAGAATAAGTTGGTGAGATTTATTACTTAATCTCAGTCCCCGTAATTCATATAGGGAGGGCTCATTTTGAGAAGTTGGTTGGTTTACCCGTACATCTGAGGGTAAAATTTCCTTATTTCTTGGTCATGTACATAAGATACATAACAATAGTGCACCTATTTATTAAATGAGCATTTTCAAATTGCAAATGAGGTACACTCTTACTCCACTCGATTTAGAGATAGTAACAGTTATTCTATTCCAAGAGTTAAGGGTTTCGGTAAGAAACATTTGTATTTAATGGTTGTTAGGAATGGAACAGTTACCAACACATCTTAGGTTCATAGCAAGTCGTGATAATTTTAAAAAATCTCTTCAGGAACATTTTATGCAATCAATATCTGTTTAGTCATTTTAAATCTAGTCATCTTACCTAGATTTTATTTATATATTTTTTATGTTTAGTGCATATTTTAGTAGTACCTATTCATTGTCAAACATATCTGTCATAGTAATTATGATTATAATACATGTGTGATAAATTTTGTGATGGAAATACTTATGTGCAATAATTGATATGAAATTGTGATGAATAATTTATGTTGCAATACTTAATAATTAGTAAATATTTTGCCTTTCTGGTGTCATATGATCAATTCTAAGGACCACAATGGAAATAAGTCGGCTTATGCCTTCTTTTTGTGTCATCCTTGGTTTTGAATATATGGCATCAACACATGCACTTTCATGTTTACATGTATCTCTTGATGTTGACATTGAATTTGTAGTTGTTTATGACATGTATTTTTTACCAGAATAAAACTATCTATCTATCTATCTATCTATCTGTCTGTCTGTCTGTCTGTCTGTCTGTCTGTCTGTCTGTCTGTCTGTCTGTCTGTCTGTCTGTCTGTCTGTCTGTCTGTCTGTCTGTCTGTCTGTCTGTCTGTCTGTCTGTCTGTCTATCTATCTACTGAAAAAGTAACCCTGAACAGGCAGGTATTTGTCGTAAAGGTATGTAAATAAAGTAGTAATTTGACTCCCATACAAAATACTTATTTACTATAATTATACTAACTGCAAACAGAACTAAAGATGTATGTATAAAGCAATTGAGTTTGTTTTTGGAAACTTTAAAGGTAGATTCTATAACAAAATTTTTCTTTTCTTTTTTTCAGAAATAAAATGAAAGCATTTCTGAGGCATAATGGGCCTTTAACGGTGTAAATTGTGACATATCTTACTTTCAGCATCTGCAGTGTTGAGTTCTTTTTCAGGCCTTTGGCAACATAAGACACACCTTCCCAGTTTATTCTGTTATTGCTTATATCAAGATATTTCAAGCATGAGTTTTCTCGTAAAGTATCTTCCAATGCGAGACTTCCTTCGAACCCGAGTCCGTTCATACTTAGGTCCACATTGATTAATGAATTATTTTTCTGCAAGGACAAGGTTAAAACGATTCAGATACTCCTAAAAACAGAACATTCAGGTTATTTTAGAGATAGAAAATCTACAGTTATTTGAAGTTTATTCAGAATATTAAAATCGATCATTGCATTATAAATTCAAGAATTGTAAGGTAAATTTTACATTGATGTCTTGTGCACCCGGCATTCTCTATTTTAAAGTAGTTTGTCCCTCTTTAGCACATGTTAATCACGAGAAACGCGCGGCGTTAGTTTAAAGCAGCATGTCATCAGAATCATGATAATTTTCATACATTTAAAAGTAAAATATTGTGAAGTGATCAAAGAAATCAATTTCCACATTGCAAACGGCATTTACAATCCTCTTAAATTTCTAAATAACGATGAAAATTTGCAAAAAATAACCAGTACTTTTTACTCCTTTCTTTATGTTTTCTTTATTAAAACCGCATACACTGACATTGTTAAATTGCAAATTTAAAGCAGGGTAAGTCATTGTACAAATTAATTAGTGTAACAGAATTACTTACCTGTAAACCTTTAAGTATACCAACTGCCCCTTCCATTCTTATATGATTCCAACTAAGGTTTAAAGACTGCAAAGAAGTTGTGTCCCCTGTATGTACACAGAAATAGTTGGCAACATTACGTTTTTTCACATTTAATTCAATCGCGAATTTACAGAATTTATGATGATGATGGTGGTGGTGATGATGATGATGATAATTATAATAACGATGATGATGATGATGATGATGATGAATATGATGATGATGATGATTTGATGACGATGATGATGATAATGATGATGATGATGAGGATGACAATGGTACTGCTGATGATTTAGATAATTATTATGACAGTCAAAGACATATTAAAGGAGTATAGTTTTGGACTCCTAATCCACAGAGACCATAACTTTAAGATACGAGAATTTTTCGAGACAACCACCCCAGAGCATTACATTTCCCATCAACTTCATGTATATGTCAGCATGGTTATGACACCCAGGACGTGCATTTACAGCGCTTTGTTGCACCGTATACAGTTTACGTCGTATATAGCTTTCATGAAACCTGCAAACGTAGGTTAAAACGTATACAGCTTACGGTGAGCTGTATTCGTTAGGTGACAACTTTAACAGCTAACGATAGTTAAAAACGTTTGATACATACATAAACTAATCATTGATCGTAATCAGTTATCCTCGAGCTAGATATTCCGGTCTGAACCGGCAGCCGGTGGAACATCCTTAGATCAGTAATTCGGTAATTCGGTAAAGTGTCTGAGTATTTAGCATTTTGGCAAAATAATTCTTTTTCATCATAACCAGTAGATTAAAGTCCATTGATTTTTTTTTTACTTTTTAATGCTTTAATGATAACTTTCAATGCGTTATGTATAGTTACATGCATTTTTTATGTTATACATAAAGATATACATAATTTAAGAATTTCTAAGACTTATGAATTTGCCACATTCTGGTATTGGTTGGTTTCCCAATATAAAACCTTATCGATAATTACTCGATTAATTGGATACTAACCAATCGCTCGTCCTAGTTTCTTACTACCACCAGTTCCTATTATATTGTGACTAAGGTTCAACCATCTTACACTGTTATTATTTTGTAATCCTGCTGCTATGAACTCACTCTCCCTGTCGCCCAACTTTGTTCCTAAAACAATTAAAATACAAGGAAAAGCTGTTAACTGTAGCATAAAAATTTGTGACGTTTGCTTAAGAGTAACAAAATGCACGGCAATAATATAGGAAAACTTGTTCTTGGGTTTATATGTACATGTATTCAAGTTTTTGAGCAGTATTCTGTTCTATTCTGTACGATGACAGCAAAAACTACTAAGGTCGACAATACGGATTTATGATACAGCAATCCTTAGACAAATTCAACATCATTTTTTAAAGGATTTGCATTCTATTGCAAATGCAAAAAAAGTTTACAGTTAATTGTTGTCTTGCATAACCACAAATGGATTTTCTACCATAATTTAACTCAATTTTAAATTGATTTAATCATCGACAAACGCAAATCAAATTAGTTGAATAAAGGGAGGTAACACTTGAACTATTTCTCTGAAAACCTAAATAGAGTTAATTCGACATGGATATAGAAGTCGAGTAAATATTTATGTCATTTATTTTAAATTTTCTGTTCTATTTGGAAAAAAAGTGTAATTATTTGATATAATTTTAAATTTGAGTTCAATGGAACATGTCTTTTATAATGAAGAACAACAACATTTATAGAGTAGAGTTTGATTATTTTAGTTGAAAATGAATCATAAGCAACACTAATTGTTATTTCAATAATGTTTAATATTTCGACAAGTTACAAAATTAATTTTCTTGCAAAGATATGCATCAACTAAGCGATTGTGGTATAGCTAAGAGTAATTGTAAAATTAGTGACTGCAAATTCAGGCACTCGACATTTCTGAAAGAAATAAATTAAATATAAAGCAATTTTACCGGAAAGATTGATATGTGTCAAACACGTTGTTTCTCGCAAAATCTCATCAAGAGCCATTGCACCAACTACTTGTATTTCATTTTCTGATAAACTCTGAAAAATATAACTCAGTTAATATTAAATCTGCTATGCACTTATTACATATAACCTATGTCATATGCAGATTATAACGAAGCGGGTAACAACAGAACAGAAGGTTTATTTAGTCGTATGCATGGTACAGCATAAAGACATATAGACAGCGAACGTTGTTCCTTATTGACCAATGCAAATCCTTCAAAAAATGAAACGACACAACAAATACGGTGTAATTCAAACTATAAATGTACACATCTTTCTTCTTTAACTGTCAAAATAAATAAAGATCTATATATTATTATACGATTTACAAACCAAGCTTTTAATATTTGAATTGGTCCTCACTACATTGATGATTGGTACCAAGTCTTCACCAACTAAACCATTGTCTTCCAGTTCTATACTTTCAATACAGGTGTTATTCTGTAAGATAAACAAACCTGGGTTGTATTTGGTGTGATAACGCGACATGGTTGCAAATTAGTTATGTTGTTTTTGTTGTTTCAATTATATTTGTATTGATTTTTATGCCACTAGCAAGCGTTTAACTGAAATGCTATTTAAGAAGAACACAGAAAAACATTTTTTTATATATCCTAACGCTTTCAATAGCGTCAAATGCTTAAACGGCTATAAGTGTAAGATTTTTTTTATCGTTTTTGCTGTCGTTGTTGTTGCTTTTGTTGTTGTTTTATTTGCTCATTTTGTACGTTGTTTTCATTTCTTCTTTATTTTCTATACTCTTTTCGTGAATTATGACATTGTCATTTATGATCACGTGCTATTTAACCAACTTACCCATAATGCACAGGCAAGTGCTTTGCAATGACTGCAATTTATTCCAATATGTTGAAGACGCATGTCTTTAAGCGGAAGTTTTCCCAAAACCTCCAAAATCGTTACATTTTTAGTTTGAAGCAGCGTTTCATGGGACACTACCAATCCCAAAAATTCTTTTTCCTCCTGCCTTTTGTTTTTCTCTTCATATCTCTGAGTTATGCTTTCTTCTGTAAAAAAGTAATTACATTTTCGAAATTCAAATGCATGATAATTTGCTTTGAAAATAAGTAACTTGAAAAATCTTTTATAGAAAAAAGCATTGCACATAGAGGATATTCAAGTTTTTTTTCTATAAATACAGGATTTATTTTCATCGAGTGGTATGAAAATAAATATTTCATGAGTGGCAGTAGCCACAAGTAGTTATTTATATAAATAGTGTTATCTGATTGGTAATTTATCTCGTGCGCACGACTTAACTATCTCGTTGCCACGACTTAGTAACCCCTGGCCACGACATATTATCTCGTTCCCACGACATTACTATCTCGCGGCCACGACTTAGTAACTCGTGGCCACGACATAGTATCTCGTTCCCACGACTTAACTTTCTTGTGGCCACGACTTAATAACTCGTGGCCACGACAAAGTATCTCGTTCCCATGATTAAACTATCTCGTGGCCACGACTTTATAACTCGTGGCCACGACATAGTATCTTGTGGCCACGACTTAGCTACCTCGTGGCCACGACTTAGTAACTCGAGGCCACGACATAGTATCTCGTACGCGATAAATAAAAGCACTCATATGTCACCTTTGTGCCACCGTAGTTTTCTTTTTTGTCAGATAAAAAAAATTGTGAAACTCTGCCATTTATTCTGGTGTAGACTATCACTACTAACAGTAATGATTTAAAACGGGGAATTAATTAAAATAAAATAGAATAATTATATAGATTTCTATACCTATCAGTGAAATTTTCAGTGTCATTTCTAGTTGGGCCCCGCCATTTTTAATGCAACACAATGATATACGCCGGTGTATTCCGATATCCGAACAATCGCTAATTTTTTTTTTCGGCTTAAAAATAATCGCCAGTATGTGCAAGAAATACCGAATGACACCTTTAAAACGAAAATTGTTTAGAATTTTTTTTTATCTGACTTCCCCGTTCATAGACTTTGACCACTTTCATTTATTTTTACACTTCCTAGAGTTCTTTATAGTAGTAATATTACATTTTGAAGATTTTTTATTGAGGGTCAGTAGTGGTTATCTTAACTATCAACGTTCATCATGTATAAAAAATTCTTTTAAATTGTTTTAAGTGTACATGTTTTGAATGTTCTTATAACTCTGTATAGTGAGAGGCAATGTTTTACTGGTAAGTAGATTTGTATACTTTAATATGTTATGTTGTAAAATTGATGACATAATAAACAAATAAACTAACAATATGTCGGTTTGAATTATTGTGAATTTTCCAATAAATACATGTAACATAAATCATTCGAGCCGCGTCACGACAAAACCAACATAGTGTGTTTGCGACCAGCATGGATCCAGACCAGCCTACGCACCCGCGCAGTCTGATCAGGATCCATGCTGTTCGCTTACCAACTCTATTACAAGTAGAGAAACTGATAGCAAACAGCATGGATCCTGATCAGACTGTGCGGATGCACAGGCTGGTCTGTATCCATGCTGGTCGCAAACGCACCATGTTGGTTTTGTCGTGACGCGGCTCATTTTATGTTGATAGTATTAAGTATCATTCATATAAAAACAAAGTATTAAACTGACATTAATTCATTACTGTTTGTGTCAGGTAAGTGTGTGATACATGTACACTTGATTCCGATCAACTAACAATTAACATAATAGCAGATAATAAATTGTTCTAGAACATAATATGAGCCGCGTCACGACAAAACCAACATAATGTGTTTGCGACCAGCATGGATCCTGACCAGCCTGCGCATCGGCGCAGTCTGATCAGGATCCATGCTGTTCGCTATCAGTTTATCTACTTGTTATAGGGTTTGTACGCGAACAGCATGGATCCTGATTAGACTGCGCGAATGCGCAGGCTGGTCTGGATCCATGCTGGTCGCAAACCCATTATGTTGGTTTTGTGATGGCGCGGCTCATATTATAATTCATCAAATAATGGTCATACTAAATTACTTAGAACTAGATAACTATTTGTTTTCAAGAAATATTTTGTAAGAATATCTAAATAAAACATTTCTATCATTTTCATCAATATTTGAAATATTGGCACCTATTGAAAATGTGCAAGTGGTAGACCAATCCACTTTTAAGTTGTTTCTAACATTTATTATTTATTATGGTTACAACATAACAACGTGGAACTATTTTCCAGTATTGCGTTTTTGATTAAAGAAACAACCAATCGTATGATAAATATTTGATATATTTAATTCACCATGGAAATATGGTGCGTATATCAGTCAAGATATACTTCATATTTTGTTTAGATAATATGATATCAAATATGAAAGAGGCGGAGCAAGACTCTATTTATTTTAAGGGATTCGTGTTTCGCCGCTTTTTGTTTGAAATCTGATGAATACAAACACTGTTTTCTTGCATATGTGTTTTTGAAACTGACTCTACAGTGATAGGAAAATGTCCTAACTAGAAATAATCCGCAACACCAATATCTTAATCGAGTACATTAACGCTGTACAGACGATTTAAAGAGTGTTTACATGACATCACAATGTGCGGCCCAAACGGCGCGTGCTTCGCATAAATTACTGCGCGCTGTTACAATTGCAGTTGGTAGCAAGCGGGCATTCGTTACCATTTCTTTGATAAAAATAAATAAAAAGGTGTATTTTTCGCTTTTTCGTGAGAATATGGTAATATATCTTTCACTCAACATGAATAAAATGCCACAATATTTTCACTCGCCCGTACCGGCTCGTGAAAATATTGTGGCATTTTATCATGTTTCGTTGAAAATATATTCCACTATTTCACGCAACGACGAAAATATATCCTACTTATATAATTAAGTTTAGTCCCGGTATTCCGTTGAATAAATAAATACGGAATTTCATACGCATTTGATTTTTTTTCGTTAACAGTTAAGCAATATGTTTGAAGCTGTTGAAATTTCGTGATTATATTTTTCTACGGCATTATTTACAATTTTCGCCGTCAATTCAATATGATGTAAGCATTTAGCTTCAAACCATCACTTTATCATTGGAAAAAAATAAATACAGAATTCTTAAAGGTATGTCATAAAAAATCATATTAAGAAGTATACAAACAGCATTTACCGTTTTCCTCTAACTCTGTGTCATAATCCAAACTACTGTCACTGTCCGTGTATATATACACTTTAGTGTCGTCTGTTAAAGTTTCATCAGACACAAGATTTTCCGTTTTCTTTAACCTTTTCACTTTTTTCATATTCTCTTGTAAATAAAGTTCTTTCTTCTTCTTTTTCTCCAACTTTTTCTTTCTTTCTTTCTTTCTTTCTTTCTTTCTTTCTTTCTTTCTTTCTTTCTTCTTCTCCTCCTTTTTCTTCTTCTCCTTCTTCTATTCTTTTCTTATCGGGTGATTTTCACGTCAGTCCATTTAAGTAAGGTTCACTTCCAGTTGGACATAAAATTCGTATTCCCTATCCTTTTTCAACGTCAGTTATCCAGGTGTGACTGACTTATTTACGTAATTTACATTTTAAGATAATTCGTGTTTGTAACTAACATATACATTTTCTAGGCTACAGTGTTTGATTATAACAGGGGTGTATCTTGTCTTAGTGGTAAGACCTATGTGCTAGAAAACCAATATTTCACTACTTGCGATGATTATATTTATTCATATTAAATTATTTTAGACCCTCATATAAACTCATTATGGTCCTTTAACACGTAAAATGAAACAATGAAAATTTGTAAAAATTATTTTATGTTTATTTGCTTTTAATACAATATTTGTTTGTTAATAATTTGTTTTTACTCTGCGCCTGTACGGAACGAGGAAAACATCCTTTGGGAATTATAGTTCTTTCATTGAATGTTTCATAAATTATTGGAATGATTTGAATTACCCTACAAGATTACATCGAGTTCTTCATTAAATTTTTTACATACACGTTTGATTTCAAAATAAATTAAAAAAATAAACGGAAACCCAAATTTGTCCTATTGCATGTCCACTACAGCAGAGGTTTAATTCCCAAACCGGGAAATTTAAATTTCCCTTAAAGACGTAAAAAACAGGGGCAGAAAACCCCCCGGATGTTTTTGTTTAAAAAGGCCCGCCCTTTGTCCCAAAATATCCCATGTAAATTCGTTATGAATTAAAAACCCAAAAATGAATGTTTAATTTATTAAAATTTAAAAAATTTTCCCCGAAATTTCATAGGGTGTACTGTTTGATTTAAAAACTGCCCCTTTGTTATTCATTTTTTCATTGGAAAACGTGATTTTTTCATATTTTTAGTACATGGCGGGCTGTAAATTTTTTCAAAAATCTCACTTTTTTCTCAAAAAGGCAAGTTTCCTGTATTATGAATTTGTTACAGGTTATATGACCGTATATAAACCATCGTTTGCAATATAACCTGAGCCGTTTATATAGAGGATATTTGTTTAGTTCAGTGTAAGATCGGAATATATTTCACCGAGTGAGCACCAAAAGGTATATTTCACGAGTGGCGCAGCCACGAGTGAAATATGAACTTTTGGTGTTTCACAAGGTGAAAATATTTTCGATCTTACACTAAACTAAACAAATTTTCTTTTTTTATAACATGCAAAGAAACGTTTTTAAAAAGACATTAAAACTAATACTGAATGAAAGCGCGCCAAAATAACAATACAACGTGACGTCCATTTCGACGTAACGTCATTAAGTTGATTACCCAGTTCTGTGCACGCTGGTATTTCACTGAAACAACGTAAGGGGCTTAAATTCAAAACAGTGAAATTATCAAAGTGGTAATTTCACTGTTTCAAACAGTAAAATTACCAGTTTTATATCACTGATATATTTCTATAAACCACCGAAAAGCATGTAATAAATAGGGTCATATAACATGTCAAAATCTTTATAACAAATAATATAACGGTAATTGTTTTTTAAGGTATCAAGTAAGGAAGGGGAACTTTTGATACATTTTCCTCCTTAATTTCGTTTTTTTTACATAATTATCTAAACTAAACATTCTGAGAATAACGCATTAAAAACCGCTCTGTACTTACGGGACATAAGAGCCATCAGAAAAGTTTAATGGTTATTAAAGGGGTATCTTGAAAAGAACTTCTACATGTATTTGACTCGAGTAAAATTTAATTGACAAGGATCTTATATCACTTGTAAGCCCGATTATGGCCCCTTCTATTTAAACCCATGGTTATACTTCAAGATAATCTTAAAGTAAGCATTTTGTTTCTATATGTGCCTCAACGTATTCAACAAACTCCTCGCAGCAGTTATTTCCCTTTATAAGTACACTACGCCGGTAAGTTCAGGGGAGATCACTGCGTGGAGATTGCGTGTTCAAATTATAAATTAACCGTATCGTAATGAATGACGTCAGTAACGTCATCGTATACATGATACAATACGGGTTTTTCTTACTGTCGGGTCAGTAAATATGAAAAATTAAGACTTACATGTATATGATAAAATATATTTATCTCAGACTAAAGCATGTGTAACGGAGACTGTTTCAGTTGCATTAAGGAATATTTTTGATATTGCTTTGCAGATACTTATACTGCAATGGTATACGTTCAATAGTACACATATCATGTTGAATTTTATATATTAAAGACAACGTTATTATATATAATCGTTCTATAACGTTTTAGTGTACGTGTGATTACATATCATAGATTAAGAAAAGTCACTTGAAATAGGTAATTCAGCTAGGTTTGTATGATAACCTTTGACTTCAAATATGTACGACTTTAGTGCATTTAAGATATTGAATGTCCCTTTTTTTGCTGTTACAACAACAACGATTTTTTTTAATTTAAGGACATAATATGTTCTAAACAACTATTTGACTACTTAGCATGCAGTACTTGCCGTGCGGGTAACACATCCACATTATATGTTATTTTGGTTTTGGAGTGATATATGTGGATATATTACATGTCAAGATTTTATATCACCCGAGGTCGCAACGTCGACACCAATATCTTATTGAAGATTACTGACCGAGTAACACGCGGTTTTACACAGATTAAGTAACATAAAACACAATTTGGTCAGTAGGGGGTGTGTCAGTTAGACCAAATGGAGAAAGTTGAAAGCCGTCATTAAGTACCTCTGTAAGACAGGGATGTTTCCCCAAAAAAGTTCAAAGATGCGAAAAACAAGAAGAAACGAGTTGTATTCGCGTGTTTTCGCTTATTTATGGTGGCCGGTTGCGGCCATTTCAAACCAGAAATTTTATCTTTGTTTCATAATATGTCGCGGGCATCTTACAAACCCGCGAGATTTTCTTTTGACATCGTACAAAATGTTGCCGGGGTCGTATAATCATCGCTATTTTATAACAGTTGTTGTAAACAGCAAGGGACATTTTGACTCTGGTCAGTGGCCGGTAACGTCCATAGTTTGACTACGTTTTATTCCTCGATTGTCTATAAACAGTCGAGGAACTGAAAAGAAATCCGAAAAAGTGTTGTAGAAAAGGCCAGGACTTTTTGTTCCTCAACAACGGTCTCATAAGATATCGCGGCGAATAATAGCAATTTTCAGCCGCGACTTTTTGCGCACATAAAAAAAGTCGAGGTTTAAAGCTCAAACTCGACTTTTTTCAAGGTATGCATCAAAACAAAATATCGCGGATTATAATGGCCGGAATCGACTACCTAAAGTAGGTATAATATGGTGGCTGATTTGATACGCTTTTGTGCGTCGCGTAGGCGTTAGCGACAACAAGACAAAGCGCCAAGAGGCGCGTTGTCGCGCTGTCGTCTTGTCATCCTGTCTCTAGCGCGGCACGCCAAACGGCGCGTTGTCGTGCGACGTGTTGTCGCGATGTCACATTGTCGCTCGTGATAGGGCAAGTGACAGTGCAACATCGCGACAATGCACCGCACGACAACGAGCCATTTGGCGTGCCGCGCTAGAGACAGGACGACAGCGCGACAACTAGACGCACAAAAGCGTACCAAATAAGCCACCAAAGTATAAGGTTTGCGTGGCTAAGTCTACTATATAGACAAAAATGTCGCGGTTCCCTTCGTAAAACTCGACTTTTTACGACAAAAGTGTCACAGAAAAACTCGAAAGTTTCTATTAGCCGCAAAATTTTATACAATTTCGACATAAAATTTTGCGAATTTTAAAGTTGCCGACTGCATTTTATAAACTGATGGTCAATTTTTTTGTGGTTACCGGCCACCATGTATGTTTTTCGTTTTCGCATTTTCCCTTTTCGTATTACTTGTATATATGAGTATTTGTATAACTTTCAAATTACACCAGACCTCAATGTACGAGGTATGATCAAACAATTCTTCTTGCCACTACACTTTACACACGATGCGTCGATACCAATATCTAATTGAAGATTACTGACCGAGTTACACGCGGTTTTACACAGATTAAGTAACATAAAACACACTTTGGTCAGTAGGGGGTGTGTCAGTTAGACCAAATGGAGAAAGCTGGAAGCCGTCATTAAGTACCTCTGTAAGAAAGGGATGTTCCCCCAATGAAATCCATGAAGACTTCATGGATACGCTTGGGAAGGAGACCCTTCCTATAGCACTGTGAAACAAATGGGCTGCTGCATTTAAGAGGGGCAGGGAGAGCATTGGAGATGATGAGAGGCCTGGGCGACCAAGAGGCCACCAACGATGAAACAGCCGAAGCTGTGCATTATCTGGTCATGTTTGACAGAAGCATTGCAAGTGGGTATAACTTTTGGTTTAGTTCAGGCAATTATGACTGATGTCTATGGCAGGTTAAAGGTTTCCGCTTGATGGCTTCCCAGACAGTTGACTGACGACCAGAATCTGATCAGGCTTGACATTTCAAGATATCTTTTGTCTCGCTACGAGGATGAAGCTGATTTTATCTACTGGATCGTAACTCAAAATGAAACATGGGTCCATCACTTCGATCCGGAATCCAAAAAACAGAGCATGCAGTGGAAGCGCCCTCTCAACCCCTCCGAAGAAGTTCAAGAGGGTGCCATCAGCAGGGAAGATGATGGCTTCAATGTGTTGTGATAGTCAAGGGATAATCATGATCGACTATCTTGAGCAAGTTCGTACCATAAACGGCAAGTAATATGCAGACGAATTGAGACGTCTGCGTCAAGAAATTGCGCGTAAAAGGAGGGGCAATGCGCCAGCTCACACATCCGATGTTGAGATGGCTGCTGCAACTGACTGCGGCTTTGAAATTCTTCCCCTACCTCATATTCTCCGGGATTGGCCCCCTCTGACTTCTACCTGTTTCCGAAACTGAAAACCAAGCTTCGCGGTAGACGTTTTCGAAGCAATGAAGGTGTCATGGAGCGGTCAATGAGTTCTTTGAGGACCAAGATAGAGAGTTCTATTTTGAAGGGTAAAACAAGTTGGAGTACAGATCGGCAAAGTGCATTGCTGTAGAGGGCGATTTTATTTAAAAGTAAGACGATTAGTTAGGTTCTCTGACTATCGGAAGTACATCGGGCCAAGATTTTTTTATCAATCCTCCTAAGAAGCCATTCGACGGACTTTCATAATTTTAGTTGGAATAGCGAGTGCTCTAACTCGCAACACCTATATTTGTAAAACATAATTTGCAAATGATACCACTGAGAAAGGCACCGACTTTTGAACTCATATATCCTGTGATGACCCCCAAATTTGAAAGTAAATTTCAATGACACACATCAAATTCAAGGACATATACATTTGATTTCAAGTTTTACTTTAAGCAATTTGTTCCAGATTTGAACGAATAATTGTGTTTGTTTTTGAACTACTTTTGATTAAATCGTAACGAAGTTTTGCACTAAAATGACGTGAAATAAACATATGGTGAAGCAGAAGTCGTGATTAGTACACTCGATTAGTTCACACACAAACACATCACGTGACTGACTGATAAAATATAAAAAGTCAAATAAGATTGAAACGATTTATCTAAATTTTGTCGCAATAACATACACACATACACAACAAATATGAAATTTACAACTGTGTCGGTGTTACTCGTCATTTGCGCAGGTAGGTGTTTTATATATATTACATATACAAAAAAATGTATATAAATTATTCTAACCCTGATAAAACTGAAATAAAAAAATGATACTTTTAGCGCAATTTTCGCTCGTCTTAGGGACCTGTCTGGCTAAACGTTTCATGTCGTTAACTATGACATTATTATTTCCTCACGGTTTAAGGTTCGAATCCCGCCAGGCATGTTGGAATCCTTCGTGTACTAATGCTATCAAGCTAGCGTACGGCTACTTAGATAACTGCGTTTGAATATAGCCCTGAATTTTCACTTAACAGTTGTGTAATCATTGCTTAAAAGGGAATCTCGTTATCACGAACACTTTTAAATGAACTTTTTTGATATATTTGACATTGAACTATTTTTAGTGTGAAATTATTATTATTGTTTTGTCCAATACGATTGCAGTATTTCAAATGAATCGTGACACATTTACTGTTATAAATAGGCAGACTAATAATCAGTCTAGTAAATCGATTGTTTATAAAAATGAATTTAAACACTAATTTGGTTAGTGTTCATTTGTAAGCATTAAACAGGTCAAGAACATTGGCCTATACGTTAGACTTCTTATCATGTCATTTAAATAGGTAACTTAGACATTTGATGGTGTGATAACCTAAATAGATGACGTCAAAAACGGTTTCACATGTTAGATGGCAAATGCATATGGAGGGCGTTCGTTGCCAAAATTCCAGACATGTGAAGTGTTCATTTGAAAGATTACTTTTGAAAATGCAAACGTGTATACCTATCATTTTTGACTTCAAATAATATGCCGCTTAATCCAGAAGAGTTCGTAAATAGTTGGTCATATAGGAGCGGGGCGTCATGCATGACTTAAAATCGTTTCATTTGGTGAATCTACTTTTGTCTTATTAAACATGTTACTGGGTAAACGTGTTCTTGTAGCTCTGCATCTGAAAACACGTTTTCATAAACTCTATTTTCTGTATTCGAATTTCACATTTCCATTTCGATTGTATTTCCATTTGTCTTGTCTCAGACTATACGTGTGCAAACTTGCTTATGTAATTTAGGCAATGGATGATACGAACATGTAATTTTTTTTATTGTTATTATTTTTTATGTTAGGTCAGTTGTTAAGATCTATATTTAAACTTGTTATTTAAAAAACGAGAACCGACGATTTGATAGGCCTATTATTTGCAATACACACAGTCAGAAATGCTAGACATACATGTAGTTATCTTCAGAAGGAACAGTTTATATGTCTGGAAATTTGGCAACGATCGCACTCTATAAATGCAGAACCTTTGCTATTTTATTAATCTGTTTGCATAGATATATGTTTAAATATTTGATATATTCATTTTAAAATTGTACGTTTTTGTTTGTATTGTAAACTACAATATTAGGCAGCTTTCTGATTAAACCAATTTTATCCTTAAATACTTTTAAAACGAACATATTGTTCCTCTGTACCATATTCCAACCTTTTATATGAATTTATTATTTATTATGTTCTCTTTGTTTTTATGATGCTTCGTTAGAGCAAAATGTTGGTGATGTTGAATTATTTTTATCTTCAGTTAAACAAAGATTAACAGATCAATTTATTCAAAACTGGCATGGTAGACTAAATGATTCAAGCAGAGCATTATTTTACAGAAACATAGCATCCTTCCAAAGGTAGCCATATCTTAAAAGTTTTTCAATGAATAAATTTTGCCAAGCATTATCTAGATTGCGTGTTTCATCACACAGGTTACAAATTGAGTCAGGTAGAAGGGTACGTCCAGTAAGAATTGCAATAAATGAAAGGAAATGTAACTTATGTGGTTAATTGGAGGATGAATTTCATTTTGTAACTGAATGCTATCTTTACAATGATTTAAGGATATACCAAGTTACTATTGGAATAGACCTAATATGTTTAAGTTTTTAGAATTGATTAAATCTGATAACAAAACTGAAATTAGAAATTTAGGAATATATGTATACAACGCTTTTGCTATTAGAAATAACGTTATGTTCGGGCAATGATACATGTAAAATAATGTATATATCTCTGTATTTTTCTTCTTCTCTTCGTTTGGTTGCCACAGCACAGTGGAAATATCACTCCTTTCAAGATATAAAATTCAATACTAAAAGTTTCAAAGAGAAAAGAATATAATTAATGATATTTGAATCAATCTACAGTTATTTTAAAGATGATGTTTCACGAATAGCCTCTTTTGTTTTCGATTTCGAAAAAGGTTGACTAAAATTGTAGTACTATTCCCATGATTGCATATATATTATATTGGATTGTATTGAATAATTGTTTCTCCTCTACTGGAGAAGTTTTTTAAGGTTGAGTTTCAACCTTCTCCTATATTTCAAATATTTGAAAAAGAGATGTATTATTATCATAATCATGCATTACTATGTCATGTCATATATAGTATGTTTGTAATATGTTGCCCTCATGGGCTTATTAGCCTAATGAAATGAAATAAATAAATTCTATGAATTATAAGATAAAGCTCATAGGAACGTTTGACCTTGTTATAATTTAGGTGCTACATAATTATCGTTGAACTCACGACATTGATATTTTGAAAGACACTCCTTGGTATTTATTTTATAGCCTCAGTGAATAAAAAAAATCTTGCCATATATAAAGGAGCCTTTCCGCGTTAACAAATGGCCATCAGAGTGGCGGGCATGGCCGAGTGGTTATCGCGTCGTACTGGTAATCTAAGGACTGCTGACCGTGTGGGTTCAAACCCGGTCCGGTACAATCCCTGTTTTCTTGACCAAGAAACTCAACATTCATTGTTTTGTACTGGTTGGTTCCAGGAACTGATTCGAGAGTGTTTTAATAAGCTCATATCTTCGAAAAACAATCGAACTAAAATAAATATGTATAAAATAAACGACCATTGTTTGCGTTTCCTTGCAGTTAGCATTAATCGACTCACCCCTGTCGTCATATTGTTTGTTACAGTTACTGTGCAGTGTTGTACCGTGGACTCAGACTGTAACCACTTGACCTGCGGGGCTGGTCAAGATCCATACTGCCATGGTAACCACTGCCATTGTCATCACGTACATGAATGCACAAGTGACACCGATTGTCATGGTCACTGCAATGCCGGAGGTGTCCCAACATGCGATGACAATGGACACTGTCACTGTTAAGGTATGTCCTAACTTAAAAATACATTAAATACCACTACAGATATTAACGCCGAAAGATTCAATGATTGTAAAAAGTTAACAAGCATGTATGTACAGCATTAAAGAGTTGATTTTATATATCTAAGTCAATCTACTTATATCTTTAAAAGTTTGAAACCTTTTTCAGTTGTAAGCATTGAGCAGCTTGTTGCTAAAAGTAATGGAACCAATTACGTGTACATGCTAGTCATATAATTATTTTATTTTCAGGTGTGGATGCGAAACTTGACTTGAAATGGCAAAACAAAAAATAATGATATCAAATAAAAATAAATTGTACTAATAAAATCATTTTAACGTGAATATGTGTATATGTTTTTGTTGTGATTGTTTTTTGGGTTTTTTGTGGGGTATGGGAGTTTTTCTCCTCGTACATGGAGATTCTGTTGTATTCAAGTACAACAAAACGTTCAGTATGACAAGGATCCCATCAATAGAATAAAGCGCTTTTGATAACCTAGCTAATACATCAATATAATAGAACTTGTACTACAGGAAATATGGAAAATTAGGAGTACAGTTACAACAGTGTACATTTAGATATTTGTTGTAATAGTACTCCTAAATTTTCCACGTGTTTTGATTAAAAAATAACGGGTGCCACGGCACCGTCATTATGCAGGCGTCATACTGTCCCGAAATTGACACCAGATGGGCATACGAATACTAGTATGGAACTTTTAATTTCGTGCGAAGATAGCCCCAAAATTAGTCGACAATCTCTCAACAGCCGAAACAAGTACGATTCCTACAGAAGGTCGCTCGATCGCATCCGAGCCACACACGATTTCTACCAAAGGTCACGCGATGGCATCCGATACACACACTAAGTCACCTCAAAGATTCAATTTTGTACCAAGTAGTTTACCAGCAGGACACGCGAAGGTCACAGGATAGGTACACGACGTCATATTTTGAGTACGATGCCTTCGTACGTGGTTACGAAGGCGTCAAGTGGCCTTCACCTCCGGGTGGTATACAACCCACGGCCAACCGCGGCAATTTTCAGTTGCAGGTAGTTATTGGCAGCTAATTAAACTACGTTTAAACTTTATTTTGGCTCTTTATATTACTATCAAAAACAATTCTATTCACAAAAACCATCTATGATCAAAGTGATGACTTTGTTTATGGTGTAATAAACTATCCACATTTAGATGGAGACGTACCGCATGCAACATCTTACGGGGTATACATGTATGTGTCTCAGTAAATTAGATTCGCTAGAGCTTTTAGCAACGTGTAGGATTTTTTTCAAGCAAAATATTTTCATTACTAGCAAGCTACTCAAACAGGGCTACCGCTATTATAAATAACGTAAATATTTTACAAAATTTACAATCGTAACTTTGATTGAATTTCAAAATTTAGTAGTGATTCAAAAATGATTTTAATGGAGATGTTATTTACAAACTTCGCAAGATCTTTGGTCATTTTAATTTTTCTTTTGCATTTACTAAAATTATTAAACGTTTAACCAATAGAGGTTTTGACCCTACTTTTTTAGATATACCGCATGCTTAGTGTTCAACACTTTAACAGTTGGTCCTTTCCTCTTTATCATGCCACCCAAGGTGGGCTTGTGGGCCTCAATCATCATAGTTTCTAAGGTGTCTTAAAAGTAGCAATGTGCTGCCTTCTTTTTCCCGGTTGACTCATCATCAAAGCATGTAATTCTGTAGGAAACAAACTGAAAATAATTGTAAATAAATTGCAAATAATGGAAGCCTGTGATGTCTCTGAAGAGATGTAGAGATGTGCAAGAGTGACAGATGAGGAAGATGGTCTAGCCGTTTATATCTCCACCATGATAAACATCCAACGCTTGAGCCACTACAAATTGCTTTCTTCGTCCTCATCGTGGTCCCATCTCGATGACATCGTACCAAAATACGATGGTGACACGACGGTATTGCGGGGGCTTCACGTAGTCGTGTTCCCTTTTTAAGACTATCGTGAATCTTCGTATTTACTTCGTATTGTCTTCTTGAGGCTAAAAATATTTGATTGCACCGATGATCACACGAAGAAAAGACGAAGACTACACGATTCGACAAGATGGCTTCACGACGGCCTTACAAAGGACCAAATTTGACATACGAATTCAACATGAAAATGAACCTTCGCAATGTCTTCGGGCAATATTTTGGCATGTCAAACATTTTGGAACCGCTCACGAAGTTAGAGCTTGTAATATTCAGCCGGGGTTCATACGCTGGCAAAATATGCCCTCACGAATGACACGATGTTATTACGATCATATTCGAATTTGAACATTTCCCTTATTCGTGTGTCCATCTGCTGCCAAATTCGGGACAGTTTGACGCCTGCATTACCACATGGCACCAACGTATATTGTAAACGTATTACAACGGCGTGTGCTCACGTGATTTTATCCGCTTCTCCTTTAATGTATACCTGGCTGTGTAGCTTTTGTGCAGGAGGAAGTAAATGTATATATTTATAACATGTTTGTCGGACACATGTTTTCGAGAAAACACAATTCACTCTTAGATTAACTTCACATGTGTTGTTGTACATTAAATTCATACTCAGTTAATAGACACAGCTGTAAAAAAGGTTATAGGTTCGGAAATTGCCAATTTCTCAAATGATTACCGATTTAAATGTGTTTAATATAAAACCAACCAGCTAGGTAATAATGGTAAATATTAATTTTAAAAATTCATTTGGTAAACACTGGCATTTGGACGTTTTAACAAGTACTTTCTGACATTTAAACATAAGTACGTTACTGTAGACAATAAACGATAGGCGTTTTGGTTCATATGCCCAAATTTGAATGCTTAACCAATGAACGGCTTGAGTTCATATGCGCCATTGATAAGGGTTATAAATTTTAAAGCATTTGAAAGATAAACTAGAGTTTTTGGTACTACAATCGCCTTTTCGGCCTTTTCCTTTAGTCTTGGTAAAAGGACTTCGAACACAATAGTATGAATACACAAACGGATACGGTTTTTCTGTCTAACCTACGCTAAGAAATTAAACATGTAAAGGAATAGTAATTTAATACGTACAAGGGAAACCACCTCCATACACAATTTATGAACAAACATTTGAATCAATTAATCAGCATAGGTCAAAATAACAGTTCAAAATATCACTGAAGCTTGTGGATTTATTTTTGAATTATACATAAATTTAATTTCCTATAATTGTTATGGGGATAACAAAACATATTATTGGAGGTGCAGCAGGGTCATTTGAATCTTTAACTTGCCACTTCGCCGCCATACGTCTCTGAAATGGATCGAAAGCATAAAACGCTATTAATAACTTAATTTAATTGTTATCAATTTCTAAACAGTTGCATTTGATGAAGATTTATGATAGAAAATCTCCTCACGCATTTTAAGCACAGCAAACCTTTGTTTAAAACTAAAAATAAGGGCAACTTTAATATAAATTCATTATGTTCAATATAAAGTAAAATTATCACATTCCCAAGCATGCCAACGACCCATAAGTCGTACAACAAATATTGGAAAAGAACAAGAGTTCTGAAAACGGTTTTGTCATGACTTATTATATAAGTTGACAAATGTTTATGATCGAGTTAAACTAAGCTACGCCCGAAACAAATGTCTGTGTGCTCTTTGACCTTTGTCAAGAATACAAAATATACACAACTAATTAACACTTTAGAGCAACCTTATATGTTTTTCATTAATTATATTAAACATATAAATTAATTACCAAAAATAATAAAGTGGTAAGATTAACCATATGTTACTTGATCAAAGGAGCGGATGCTTACAAAAGAATAACTATAAAAATATTTTTATACACACCGAGGAGGTTATTGGGATAGTGACAGTTTTAGAGTATGTTTGTTGCAAGCCAGCTTGTATTGGACATTTGACACTATCAATGCATGCGTCGTTTGGTTTAAAATACCATATTTCGTCCCTCCCAATCCCAATAACATCACCACTTGCAAAATTATATGCTTTGTCATGATTCACCCCTGAAATTAAAAACGACATCATTTCTCGCGTTTTTATTTTCGTCAGCTCAATTTTCTGTGGGTTGATACACGGAATTAGGGAGCATTTTTAGGGTCATAACGAAGTTGGGTTACGGTAGCAACAGTTTTTGCGAGCCTGTATAACCAGAAAAATATCACCGAAAAGGTAGCTATTCATCTTCGTCAACAATATCTTCTTATTGTTGTACCATGCCGTTGGAACCTCACTTTTTGCTTTTGCTATTATTCAATCATCAACGCTAAAAAGAAAATATTGCAAGAGGAAACTGTTTGTTTGTAATAGTTATTGTATATAGTGAAGTATATAATATGAATATACAATGTAAAAAACCCTTTATTAAAGCAACCCACTAGTCTTAGCCAAACTTTTCTTTAATTCGGAATGGTATCAAATTAGATAGCATTTGAATTAGTTTATTAAATGACAGCGGTCCATTTTGTATTTACATGTTAAACTAATATGTGTTATAACTTTAAAAAGCTATTACGAAAGAGGTATCATAATTCAATTCTAGATATACGGTAACAACTGTCTTCCAGTGTAAAGAGATTTATTAAACTAATAAAATTACACCTTTTCACAAGAGCCATATCATCAAGTACACCAATTGTTTAATAATTTGAATATCAATTGGAGATTTTCTATTACTATTAAATAATTAGCTTAATAGAACCTTGTCTTACTCTTGGCTAAACTGGGAACCATTCCGTTTGGTGACACATAACTACATCACTTCAAAAAAGATATTTTAAATCATTTATATTTAAGATCGAAAATCAATGAAAGCATTGGTAATGGACTTAATTATACTTTTTGCCATCGTTATGAACACGCATGGACAATAGTATTACGGTATTTTCCTAACACATATTACAATGTAGTTTAAACAAATCTGTTTTAGTTCGATTGTGTTGGAAGCTATAAGCTTATTGAAACACTGTGACCTACAAGCACTAAGCAATGAATGTATTTTATTTTATTTTTTTGCTAATAAATTTCTAGTCCGACGCGTCAACCATTCGACAACACTGCAACTAAAAAAATTCCTTATCGGATCCAATATTGTTGAAAGCCTAGGTTTTTTTTAATTTTAATCTCATTTTAATTTTGCTAGTGTGAAAAAAATCAAATCAAATCAATATTGATCTCGATCAAGCCTCTTCTTCATTTTCCGAGTCAAAAATAATCAATATCAAATCACAATTGTACTCCGTCTAGCATAATCTCCAATTTCAGAGTCCATAAACTTTATTTCAAAACATTATTGTACTCGGTGTAAAAATAAATGATCTGCCAAATATTGAAAATTTGGTAGTGTGAAATAGAAATATCATTACACACGTTATTGAACCAAGCACTTATGTCTCGTCCAATATAAGTTTGACATTTGTGTACTCATACAATGGAATTCCGTATCGTACTCAACAATGAAGAATGAATTCAAATTATTACATGAGCGTGTAATTCTGAAGTATTGTATCGCTCAAGCTGAATATGTATTGTAATCAACATAACACAATCAATGACAGTGCTACAATCTATAATAGCACACTCGTGTTATTTTCCTTTATTACATACTTACCTCCTAGCAAAAATCTTAAAAGAAAATTTTAACTAAACCAAAAGGGTATGAAAAACCCACGAAAAATTTTTTTGAAAGCCAATTTTTTTAACACAAAAATTTTCATTACAATAATAGATAAAAGGGTTTGTTAGAGCTAAGATCAGTAAAAAATCTGCAAGCAACATACCTCGGAAGACAAGGATTTTGGTTGTTGCTGGTATTCTGGAGAGGTTAATTTTATTGCAAAGTCTTACAATGTTATTTGGGAAAATTTGGACCGGTTATTGTAAAGAAGTATAATTGTTTTACATGTTGCATTTTGAGTTTGTATTGTAAAGTGCTTTGTTGCTATAAAGTTCTCGTAAAGAACAGCAATAAAAATGTGAAATACAAAAAGAAAATAAGTCCATCCGGATATTTCATTTTGTATGAATGTACATTTTGAAGGATTGTTTTTTGTTTTTTTTTGTTGTATACTACTATAATTGTTCTTCTAAATGTTTTGTTAACCAATATTACATTGTTTTTTATTCATCTTTTAAACATACTTGCTGTGAAAACGATCCGTACTGTATAGTTCTGCTGTACGTGAATTACACATGGCTCTGCGACACACGACTCAAGAAAAACTGAATGAACAGTCGCTGTAGACCCTTTTAAAAATATGTAACAGCTGTTAATTAAGCATTCACAAAGAATAATTATACATGTACAATTGTATAAACTTCTAAATTGTTTTGAATTGAATGATAATTTGCAACCATAATTATGGAAAAATTGTGTGTATGTAGAACAGTACAGTAGCTGATTGCGTTCCACAAAGGTTAGTATCAGTTCGAAAAAAGATCAACATTTTACACACTCATCATGACTCTAACCTGCATCATATGGTACACATTCTCGAAATATATTTCCAGTCCCTTCATGTCAGAAACCAACAATGAGACTCTTTAAATTTACCTAAGGATTAAGTTATATACATGATTTACAGGAAAATTAGAGGTTGTATAATTGGTATTGTTTTCTGGAAATTGAATTTAATTTAAGGCCATGGTTGTATCTGTATTACAAAAATGACCGAACATCTATCTATTCATTTATGCACTCTTACCGTTATGGTTCAAGTAAAATTCAATGAAATTAACGTGTAGCGCAATGGTAGTGAAGAGAAAAAAATCTCTTTTGGTAAACACTAATTTTGCTAACATTTTACCGGTGAAATTACGCTTCGGAAATTTGATCAAGCGTGTACAAGTAACAGAATTGTCAAATGACTATAGCATTAAGAGTTTACTGAACTTCTATAAAAAGGATTGTTTCATTTACAATCGTACACCGTTTTATCTTTGTTATTAAAAGACAATATTACATTTCATTGATTTCTTTTATTTCGATTGCATTTATAACTTGTAATTAATCTTTTGCTTTCTTAATATATGTCGACCTATATTGTATTTTGTGACTACGTGACTTACGCGGGCTATTAAAATAAAATTATATTTAATAAATTCAATTTGATATACATTTAAAATCTTACAAACTAATTTTGGATGATTCTATACGAGGGGTTATTCAAAAATTCGTGGACTTTCTTTGTTGCGTAAAATTTATTTGAGATATTAATTTGAAATTCTTACACTGCTTAGAAGAATTAATAACAAATAAACACAGAAAAATTCATGTGAATAGCTTCTTACATTACAACAATATTTAATTTTACATAAACACATGTCGGCGACAGCGGCGCACTCCAAAAAATTATTGACGTCAACGTCATAATATTAACGTACAATTTGTGCTTCAACGTTACGCAGTCAATGACTGTTACTGCTTCTCAAAGTAATGTCCATTACTAATTTTTTATGCCACTTTAACACTAATGATCGTGAAATATTCTTTTCTCTGTTCGTCTGCTGATTTTTATCAAATGTTTCTGTAGGTGTCATTTCAAAATTGCAATAAAAATTTATGATTGTTTATGATCATGCGATTTTCTAATTATCGCGTGTCCGTCTTAAACAACATGTATTCGTATAGATACGCACTTTGCAGAATAAAAGCCGCACATTTATATATGGCTATGTAAGTTTCTATTGGCTAATAATGATGTTTCCCGATATTATCTCTAAATCACAAGGTCGTCACGAAATACGGCATATTAAAGCGCCAAATCTCCCGTTAGTAGCATTTAACTCGTTTTTTTACAGAATGATTAATTCTAGGCCGATTATGCGTATGCAAATGGACGAATGTTCAAGGTCGGAAACATTCATGTTTCTCATTATCTAATGAAAGCAGTTTATATTAAACTAACCTATTAACGCATTACAAATCTCACTTTAAAAATAATTGCGTAATTTAAACATTAAATAAACTGTTTGTCAAATCACTACACCTTATCCTTTTTTTAAGTTTATCTATCGGGTTAAATCATATAATTGTAAATGAATACATTTTACATGTACATTGTATTTTAAGAGCTCCATTTTACTTTGATGGTTAAATTATCTCACTTCAAATCCGTTGCCTAAACCGAAACTGGTTCTTATCCCACAAGGGAAATTGCCAGATTACAGAGTCTATCCAGATTCACACTTATGCTTGAAATATAATACACATAGAGGGAAACTTGGGTGGCAGCCTTTTTTACCTTACCGGTTAAATATCAAAGTATAACAACTATGACGTTTATGGAGGGTTATTTATGCCAAAATTACATCTTGCTTTCTTACGTTAAGTTGTATGCTCCTATCATAAAACGTTTTTACACTAAGCCAGTCTGTCCTATATACACTTAGCTTAGCAGACCAGATCATGCTGGGCAGAGATGATATCTATAAAAATGACAGTAACATGTGAATTTCTTTGATGTTGTATGAGCATTTGTACAAAGTACATTGAATATAAAAAAAATAACAATATCAATTTTTGCGGGAGTAGAATTAATTTCATTTTGGTATTTGTTATATCAGTTTTTCATGCGCTTATGAGTTAACTAAGATTAATAGTAATTGGATTTTGCCTATTGTATTAGACAAACATCCTTCCACCACATGGTTAAATTCTAAAACGATTATATTTCGTCTTTCAGATTGTGAAAATTATGATAATTCAACATGTGTCAAAAGTTCAGGAGGAAGATGAAAATATTTAGAGGAAAAGAAAAATGAAAACCTACCAAGATTTTGTGACAGGTATATTTCAAAATATTATAGAAAATACAGCGATCTTATTACCCTTGATTTTATAACGAAATTCACGAAGCCATTTTTATCAAAATTAATAGATATATACAGTACGTACACGAAACTACATGGTTTAAACTAAATTAAAAATAATAAGTATCTTTTTAAGTAGTTGGAGAGTTTTGTTAGAATTTCGTTTAATTATAATATGTATAAGTGATTTATTTCTTGCACTTGTAACTGATTATTTTATTTTTTTTTAATTTCAGAAAGTGTGATGAGATCTCAGGTTGGAGACGGTAATGATACGCTTATAGTATGCCCCAGATCGACAAAGTGGAGGGGGACGAAAGAAGCTAGAATACTAATGAAGATACATGAACATTTCTATTATAGTTATAACAAAATATTCAGAATATTGTTCCATTTAACATCCAGATCTAGATTCAGTTATAAAATACAAAGGCAAATATCCCAAACTCAGAGTGATCAGTTCAGTGGTGATATAAGAAAAAACACATGCATGGATGTTTGCTATATAAAATGTCAGTGTTAATATTCAAGAAGGATTTTGTTTATCTTATTTCTAAAACATGCTTAATTAATACATGAAGCGTTATTAAAGTACATACCGTCAAGTTTAATAGTTTCAAAAAATATTATGTAAATCTTGCATTTGTTATAGTACCACATTTCTTGTTTTGTACTTGTGATTCCGAGTATAAAATAAATTGTTAAAATCATAAGAATGCTTATTTATTAACCCTATTAAAGAGCTTCAAAATGAAAAAAAAATCATATTCCAAAAGTTTTGAATGAGGTTAAATCATGGTCAGAAAATTTGGTCAGATAAGGTTGGCATATGGTCAGAAAAGGTTGGATTATGGTCAGAAAAAGGTTGGATTATGGTCAGAAAAAGGTTGGATTATGTCCAAATAATGGTCAGAAAAGGTTGGATTATGGTCAGATAATAGTCAGAAAAGGTTGGATTATGGTCAGAAAAGGTTGGATAAAGGTCATTTTATGACGTTGTATAGACGTCGGTTTCTGACGTCTAAAAAACTTTCAAATCCAACCTTCTGCCAACGTTTACCCAACGTCAGGGTCTAACGTCAGTACAACGTTGGTACAACGTCTTTTGTTTGCTGGGTACGTTACATCGTGCTTTCTAACTTGTACATCGTGCTTTCTAACTTGTACATTATGCATTCTGACATATGCATCTTGCATTCTGACTTTTACATGTTGCTTTCTTACATGCACATTATGCTTTCTGCTGTGTGCGACTTGCTTAATTTTATGTTGATGTCGTTATTTAACGATCAATTATTATTCATTTGTTGAGCTGGTATATTAATTCAATAAATTAACATGCAACTGTTTGTATTTGGGTCTATTTACTCAGCTTGAATGACGAATGTCACAAGGTAGAATGCGCATAGCCGAAAGCCGAATGCAGCAAGCATAATACAACGCGACATCTGGTGTAATAATATGTGACACCCAAATTATGCTAACAGGTGGCGCTACAGTTATATTCTCGGTTAAGTCCGTATTGCGGTTCGGATTCAGTTTACCAAGTTACGTCCCTTTGTTTTAAAATTTCCATTTGCACTCATGGAGGAAATATACAAAACGATTTAACCAATTTTTATATTTATTAATGAAACTCTGTAGGTCAAATTATATTTCCAGCTGACAATGACAAGTTGCACATTTCCAAATCAATGGTTTAATAATTTAGTTTTATTCATCAACAAAATAATTATAAAATAGAACAGTTGTTCAACATTGTTCAAAGTTCTTTGGCCATAAAAAAAATTCTTATTAAAATATTTCATACTCTTGAAAAGTTCTTAAATTTTGACATGGCTTATTTCAAATACCTGTGACCATCCACAACATTTTTAATGTGTTTCTATTAATTCGGACATTTTCTTGCCTATTTTCAAACTAATTTTGTACACACGTTAGATTTTTTAAATTCAACTTGTCAAAAAAATGTCTTTTTTCACTAAGTTTGTCTGTCAATCTGTGAGAGTTTAGCTTTAGGACGAATGATTTCATAATATTAATTGATGAGTACATAAAAACAAAATGTACAAAAAATGTCCCAAGAAATGGTTATAAAATCAAATGAATTGTTTGTCATAGAAGATATTAATAAACATTTTTTTCTACATTCTCAGTGGTGTTTGTATTGCAAATACTTTAAATGAGTAAGATCTGCTATCATGAACGCTATAATTAAAGAAAACTACTAAAAAGGCATCTTCAGCCAAACATGCAATATTCATTTTATAACCATTTCTTGGGACCATTTTTGTACATTTTGTTTTTATGTACTCATCAATTAATATTATGAAATCATTCGTCCTAAAGCTACACCACGGTGCATATCTATATCGGTACCCTCTTTGCGAAATCTGCTCAAACGGTACCCTCTTTACACATGGACAGGTCATTCTCTGCTAAAAACAAACCAGCGATGGATAACAATCCAGTAAAATTTCAATGTAATAAGGAAAGGGGGTTTGACACGTACAAAAGATATATACCACGGGACACTAAAATGTTTTATTTATGTGCCATATTTATGCTATTATTCATGCTTTTTGTCATGTGCCCGTTTTTCATGTACTGCAACTTCACAATAAGCTACAAAAAATCGACATGTCTTGCCTCGCCCATCACCTCGACATACTTTTCGGGCTGCAATGAACCGTGGGCTTGATTATATA